AGAGAGAGAGTGAAAGATAAAAGAAATGGAATGGGTAAGCAGCCATGCTTATGCATCTATGCCTTAGCAGAATCTGTGAACATGTTAAAGTGTCGTTTTCATTTTGCCCGTATCTATATGGGATGCTTTCACTTTTCGTAAGTAGGCTTCGGATTTTGCTTCTTGGCATTAGTCCTGTATATTTGTCATTGAGTCGAAGCTCTATTGGCATCATTGCTGGAATACTGAAAACACTAAAATCCATTTACTGTGCTTTATCGAATTTCTCGTACATCTGTATGAATTAGATCTTKTAGGTAAGTCGCAATCGTATGGGCTGCACAGGTAATTAATCGATGGCTAACTCAGGTAAATACAACATGGATGCTSTGGCTGACTTCTTGATGCGGCTCTACCATCGGGCCAGAATGAGTATCATGTGGCTGTTTTCCGATTGGCGTGGCCAGGATCGGCGCCGTCTGCAAATGGAATCGGAGGTATATACCATTCCTTTCAACGAGTTCCGCAATTTCGACGACGACATGGAGTACTACATGAATGATACAGACGAAGCTATCCAGTTCGCAAATGATCTAGCCTTCAGAGCAGCGAACCCAGAAAATCTATTGCCAGCTGGCGAAGACGCCTTCGAAGACAAACTTGAAATAAAGGAGGAATCCAACCAACCCAACTAACCCAACTGAACGATCTGTCACACTGTTCCAATGTGCAGCAGACTTCAATAAACGAACATTTCCATCAGCAACTTTCACTCGATTGTTGTGCTTTGTTGTTGCTGCTGTACTGGCTTTGTTGCTTGGCGGCTCTATTTTTAGATTGGCCGAAATTGTGGCGCTTTAACAGCACTCTTAACAGCAACTGGGCATTAGCTGAACAACTGGCTCGTTGGTCTAGGGGTATGATTTCCGCTTAGGGTGCGGGAGGTCCCGGGTTCAAATCCCGGACGAGCCCAATTTGGACTCTGTTTTTAATTCAACATATTTTAGCTTTATTTAACAAAAAAAAAAAAAAAAAAAAAATTCGACTGAGTAAGAATTCATTTAAAGCTTTAAAACGCCAATTCGAACAGTTAAAAGAATGAAATGGTTTTCTTACAAATTAAATCAGTTTTTGTTGCTCAGTCAACGTTGCTAGATAGACAAATTAAATGATTGGGAAGAATTTCATGCATAAAATGATTCTTATTGTGGCTTGGCGTTATATTAGTCATATGATAAGGCTATATTTTACACTAAAGTAATGAGTAGGTGATTACATATAAATACTTATATACATATAAATATAAGATATGAATTTGGATATATGTATATGTATATGTATATGTATATGTATATGTATATGTATATAAAGTAATCTAAGTTATATATGTCGTATCAGCGCGATATTAGACTGTTGTTGAAGTTAGTATGGGAATTCTTGATGCAATAGTGTTGAGAAATACTGGAAGTTCGTATTTAACGATTGATTTAGTATTGTAATGATAATTAAAGGATGTATTGCCAGTAAGAGAACGTAGTCCCGGGTGTCGCGAGACGGCTAGTTATTTTATTCACAGCAGGGTGCGTTCGATGAACAAGAATATGCGATCAGAATTAGAGGTTTTGACAGGAGAAGAGAAATCACTTGGTCAAAGACTATTGAGCCAGAAAGAGCATTTGGAAAGAGTTTAGCGACACCGGGAATTCGTTGGGACGCGCAGCTATGATGGAAAACAAGAATGAGAAACGCAATGCCCCGACATATATAATAGAGCAAACTTTATTATTATTATTTAATCATATTATTTTATATTTTATGAAATTATTTATGGCTTAGGAGAAGAAGCATTACGCAAAAGTCGAATGAACAGTTCAATGATAGCCTTTCAATAAACGGACTAGGCCACAGCTATGTATGTATATAGATTCGACTGTTCATTAGTATACACACACATACATACATATACACCGCATTCTGTACACATTTGTCAACAAAATGTCAATTCCCTCCAGCGAAATATTGAGAGGACAGCCTTAGCTCATATCGGAGGAGTTGATGTTGGATTATGCGTTCAGGTTCAAAGCACTTTCCGCATGCTACGAGGGCGAGGGTTGCGCAATTCGTTATGTGTTCTGGTCTTCTGGCATTTGACCGTTTGACACTTGGCAAGAAATTCGAATGGCATGGGCAGAGCGCGGATACGAAGGGGACAGGGGACAGGGGACAGGGGAGTCCTGGCCATGTTTCGTAATTATTTAAAAAGCAAACTACGCCCACACACACATACACACACACAAACACAAACGCACTTGCATGCTTGTGCCTAGGCGCATTTATAATTGTGTGTGCTTTCTATTGTTTAAGCATCCTTGCGGCAGTGGCAGCAGCAGCAGCAGCAGCAACAACAACAGCAGCAACAACAATGGCAACAGCGCAGCAGGCAGTCGTTGGGGCAGCTTCCTTGACAACTTTGAAGGCTGTCGGCAGGAGTTGGAGTCTACGATTCGGGCATGGGTCACCTGCAGCAGCAACATCGTCAACATCATCATCATTGCCATCTTCTTTATTTTGTGCACTTATGCGCCTTTACTTTGTGCATAATTTCTTAAGCAGAAGCAGAAGCAGAAGCAGCAGCAGCAATGCTTGTCGCCCCAACGTGGGGCATGCGGGAGCAATGCACTGAGCTGGGCTGTAGGCTGACGCCTGCCACCTGCCGCCTGCCGCATGTTGGCCATTGGCATTGCCTGCTTCTGATTTGCAAAGGTGGTATTGACTGAATGATCATTCGATACAATTCAGTTGCAGCATGTTGCACGAACAAATCACGGCGAACCGCCCTCAGCCACGGCGTGCTGCATGCATTTGAGTTTGCCCAACTCTCAGTATTTGCCAGCTCTGCTTGGGGCAGCCACCCCCTGCTTAGCCATTCGCTACTCGTTTCTCGCTTCCCCCATCTCCCATCTCCCATATCCCATCTCATTTCGCCTTTCTCCTTTCGCGTTTCTGCTTGTTTTCTTTTTTGCTGGCTGCTTGTCTATCTAGCTGTGCTTCTGCTTCTGTGTTCCATTAAGAGTAGCTCTTGGGCATGAATGTCATCATCAGGACAAGTGTTGCAGCGCGCTCACATGGGACAACAACAGCAACAAAACAAACGGCAGCAGCATTTACTGGGGTGAAAGTAAAAATTACACTTGCAACAGCAACAGCAGCTGCAGCAGTGGCAGAATTTTTGCAAACGTCAAAGGCGAAAACGTTGACGTTTCTGATCCTGGAGCTGAAAATTGTGCTGCTCCAGCTCCAGCTCCAGCTCCAGCTCCAGTGTCAGCTCCAGCTCCAGCTCCGACTCCAGCTCCTGTGTTGCTGCTGGGGTTGTGCCAGCGCATGAGTTCGTTAAACCTTCAAGCATCGAAGCTTTCATTTCTTGACAAAACCCTCAACCAGAACAAACTACAGCATGCCAGTGGGGCGCGAATCTCAGCACAGCAGCTGCAGCAGCGGCAGCAGCAGCGGCAGCGGCAGCAGCGGCAGACTGGGCACCACTGCCAACGGCTGCAGCAGCTCCAGAGCGTCAGGTCGGGCCAAGTCGCGGTACTCACATCACAGACACATACTTTGAAGCCGTACGCTGGGGCTGCACGAGTATTCAGCCGTTGCGCACTCCAAAAACTTAGCTGCTCGCACTCGGCCGCGCCCTCGCCCTCGCCCTCGCCCTCGCCAAGTCGATGACTGGAAAACGCCCAGAGTCAAGCATATTGCGTTAAATTTTAATTAAGCCAGCCACACGCACTTTTTACAAAAGCAGGTGGAACGAAACGGGATGCTGCGCCTTTGTTGGGACATAAGCCTCGCTGCGTGCTCTGCGCTCTGATTCATTTCTCGTTTCCAGCCTATTATGAATATTATTTTTATTTCCTTTTTCTAAATTGCTTAATTTGTTCTCATTGTTCTCATCATAATTATTATAATTATTATTATGCTTATAGTCAATGTAAATGGGAATATGGGATTTAATAATCTTGTTTAAATTTATGCCTAGTCCCATATATTCTTAATCAGAACGACGGGGTATATCGAAAGGAGACATAAATATGTATCTAAATGTGTACATATATTTCTGTTCATCTTTCGCAGTGCGAGTTTCTACATATTGTCGCCTTCTATATATTCGATAAACCACTTCGTTCGCCAATTATCGATAATAATCGATATTTTCATTTGGGTTTTTAAGCGCACTATACAAGATGCGTCGAGTGATTAAAGCAAATGCTCTGAGGGTTCAATTTACAAGTACCCTAGCTTAGTTGGCGATAGGTAGTCAAGTCACATAGTCATAACACAGGGACAACTTTTGTGCATTTCAAATATAGTCGCTAAGTCGCCCTTATGTTAAATTCCAATTCTGTTCGGTTTTAACTGAATATACTTATATCTGGACCTGCCAAATCAATAGCAGATAGATAGAGATACAGAATGTAAATCCATGTATGCAAATACAATTCAAGCAGGAGAATAAAAAGTAATCCGATTTTGACATCCATAGAGACCTCAAACTTCCTCTTGTACAAAACGAAATACAGTCAAGATCAGGCTAAAAGATCATGACAGTGGAGTGGGACTGGGATTATCTGAAAATGCCTATAATAATAAAACGCGTGTAAAAAGATTCCACGTCCTGGACCAACCAAATGGATAGCTATACATAGATAGTTAGTATAGATTGAGTTCACTGGAGCCCAAACTACCATAGTTAATATCAATTTGCTTATTATATAGCTTAAGGCAGATTGCAAATAAAACTTGAATAAAAAAATAATAAATAGATAGCTTTTACGACCTGCCTGTCGATCGGCAGTGCACTCGGTAGGCTTGCAGCAACGGCCTCCATTGCCGGCTTAGTGAAGTAGTATCCCATTGATGAGCCGCGTGATATTGGCAGTTAAGGAAAATTGGCAAGCAAGGAAAGTGCGCAACTATCATTTTCCTTTACATAGACAGCTGACTATGTAAGCACCACGCCAGGCCACTTGGCCTAGCCTTAATTAAATTCCAGCTGAAGTAATGAGTGCTAGGCAATACTCAAAGAGCTGAGCTGTGTTGCCTCACGCTGGGAGTAGGCAGACGATGTTCAGTGCTCAAGTTTCTCTTATGTATTAACTGTTTTAGTGTAATTACTTTATGTGATATCACATAAAAGGTGGTATTATTTGGCTTAAGATAACTTCGAGCTGACTTCCACAGTTAAATTGTTGAACTACTTGTGAATAGAACTCAGAGGGAAATCCTGCGATGTTTAGTAGGGATGCCGACTGAATGATTGTACGCTATCAGATCTGGATCTAGCTAGTTAGTCAACTTACTCACTTGGCACAATTAGTTTCTCCCTTCATCTTGACCACTATATCGATGACTAATCACTTACATAAAGAGCATATATAGAATTACTTGAATATCATATCGTGTACTCCGTCGATTACGTTTGGATAGATCTTCAACTTGATTCAGTTGAAAGTAAGTTGACTACATTGTGGCAGCTATTAAAGCAGTTTATGTAAGAAGAAGCAGGAGCCAAGGCGGCATTACAGCGCTGATGATCCATGTACTTATATGTATGTATGAGGAGCTGGAGTGAGGAGGAGCGGAAGACATCTGCTCGAGGGAGCTGCTGCAACCAGCTTGGCCACTCGCTGCCTGGCGAGGCCAGGCGTTGTGCTAATTGATTCTGCCGCTTAAGTTTACAAAGCGTAATTTTTATTGAAATGT